GCATCACTTTACTTTTCTACAGCTGTTTGATTCTGTAATAAAAGTATCTTCTGTAAGTCCAGACTTTCTGTGAGTGCCAAATTCCAGAAAAAGGATTACTACTCCACTACCTAACAGTGCAGTTAAGAAAAAAAGGCATATAAAAGAATTATTGCTACAAAAGAGAAATGAATAAAGAAAAAGCCACAAAGAATCTTGTCAAAGAAAGCCTGGAGCAATGAAGATTAAGAGACAGAGAAAATGCATACCATTTTTGAGTTATTTTTTAAAAAAAATGTTTTGCAAGTAGGTGAAGAGGACTAAAATTCCTTTCCCAATTTTGAATCATTTAGTTGTTATATATTCTGCCCTGTTGCTTCCTGGACATCAAACATGTACACTTGCATTTTTAAAAACACTTCATAATTTGTTGTAATCCATATAGCCTTTATATAATCCTGTAGTTCTCAAACTGTATGCTGGGGTGCCGCAGCGATACCACAGCGGCATGACGAGATATTTTACTACTTGGGAACCACTAAGAGCACCATGAACCAAGAATGTTTGGGAACCTCTAATAAAATTAATAAAGCAAGAATGTCTTTTTCGAACTTGTCTTTTCTATGCAAAAACTAGAGAGAGATTAGTTTGTTAAGTATGTCTGAGAAGGTGCTTGCCAGAGTTCTGACTGGAAGAATACAAGAAGTTACAAAATTTGAGAAGGGTATTGCTCTTGCTTGCTCATCAGCAAATAATTGAAAAATACATAAAATATGAGAAAGTTTATTGTGTGTTTGTTGGATAAGAGAAAGCATATGATAAACTAAACATACTTTATCATATGGCTTGAATGATGGAATGTTTTACACAAATATGGATTGAAGATTGGTTGTTGAATAAAGTAAGAGTGGTATATGATAAAAGTAAAGAACAAATGGTATATTTAGCAAATGGTTCAGCACTAAGCAGTCAGATGCAACATGTTTCTTTGATTGTTTAAGCTATTTAATCTATGTATAAGGAATGCTTGTGATAGCATTAGAGGTATATAGGTTGGGGACATAAATGCACACATAATTTTGATGCTGTGTTGTTGATTGAGAACCTTTTATAGCCTTTTTTAGCCTTTTATAATAATATTAATTTTTTATACTTTCTGAATGTTTTTAAAATTGTTTTTATGGTTTTGTATTCTGTCCAGAGTTACACTACATGAGATGGGTGGCCATATAAATATGATCAATAATTTTGCAGCAATTGTTAGATAAACTGTAATGAGGAGTATGAATATGAAAATTAATGTATCAAAGACTCAGGAATTGTTTGAAAGGGAAAATAAAATGAACAATTGCAATTCATACATAAATGGTAAATTAGATCAAGCAAACGAATGCCTGTATCTTAGTAGAATGTTCATTAAAGATGGAGAAATTTAATTTCAGAGCAGTGCTGGTGGAAGAGTAATGACTTGTAAGGAATGATTGTTTGTCAAAAGAAGCTAAAATAGCTTTGTTATATGAAAGTGAGAAGTATGTCAGAAGAAACAAAAATGTTGAATACAGCAGGAATGGGGTACTAAGAAGAGAGAGGGCTAAGAATGGTTGTTGAATGAACATTCAATAAATCAAATGCAATTAAATACAAGAGCATGTAACCAGTATAAAAAATATATTGAGATGTTTTGGTCATATAGAAAGAATGAATGGGGATTAAATTGCAAAGCAAATATATGCAAGAAGAGTCAATTAATTTAGAGTATGAGGAAGAATCAGAAATTCAGTTAGATGGAGTTACAAGATTGTTAAAACAAGAGGTGAGAAAGATAATGTAAGCAGCAGTATATCGATATGGTAGAAATAACTGCAAAAGTAGAAAGGTATAGAGAAATGTTAGTATAAACTACTTTTAGCTGCTTCTTTTTCTCATCTCATGCACTTAATTTTCTTGGCTTACTAATTCTTACTCCATTTCTTGCACTTTATAACACTGAAAAGGGCGTATATAAGGGTGTACAGAGAATGGGATACTTTTTTCAATTGGATCTCTTTTCATGGTTGCAGAACTAAAGGAATTTTCCTCACATAGAAGACAACCACTTTCTTTGCCTCTACAATGCAAACCAGCTGCTAGACAACTTGGATAACTTCAGCTATTAATCTGTGCTTGGTAACTTTAATTTTAAAACAATTATCTTAGTTCATAGAATCTTGTGATACCTGGCAAATGTAAATACTTTTAAATCACTAGGTCACTTCTTACCATAACCAGAAAACAAGTAGCTGACCTAAGAAAGCCACTGAGTCTTTCCTCTTCTTAGTACTATTTTACAAGTGATTTTGTACATCAAGGTCTTTGAACACTTATTGTAAATGCACAATATCAGTGTAGCATGTCATCCTTCCTAGCATTAAATGATCATTTAACAGTAGAGTAATAGAACTTTGAGAGCCACTTTACTGTAGTGGCTAAAGGCACCAAGCTAGAAACCAGGAGACTGAATTATAGTTCTACCTCAGCTGGGTGATTTTCAGCCAGTCACTCATTCTCAGCCCTAGGAAGAAGGCAATGGCAAATCACTTCTGAAAATATTGCTAAGGAAACTGCTTGGACTTGTATGGTGTATGGATATTGTAGGTAGTCCAGGCAGACATCACACTCAAAGGTACTATATATATCTTTAGAATTTGAAGGAATTTTTGACATTAATTCCAAGATTGGAAAGCTGGGATACTTTAAATAGCAACATTGCTGACAAATTATCCTCATATTTGCAGCAAAGGAAAAAGATCCCATTATGTCCTGAGGCAGTTTGTTCAGTCAAGCAGTACTTAATGTTAAGAAATGTCTCCTAATTTAATATGACTTTTTCTCTTTTATTATGTCTTCATCTGACTAAGAATATTTAGCTTTTTCTATTATTCATCAAAGAACCTGATTTCTTAAAAGCTCTCTTCTGCATATCAAGACTTTCAATTGGTTAATGTCCTTGTTAGAACTTGACACCCAGGACTACATAGAACGAGGAAATATTTTGTGAAAATGTACATAAAATTACATTTGGCTTGGCATCCTATGCACACCTATATAGAAATAAGCCATACTTGACCATAATTGGACTTTTCTACCCACATAATCATTCTTAATTTTTAAAATAGTAACACAGTCTGAACAGTTAAATATAATATTATTTGTTCTTATTTGTTGAAGTATTTTTTATGAGTTTAAATCAACTCTCCATCAGCAGCATGACTGAAAACAGTACATTCCAGCACTGATTATACTTGTTCAGAAAGAAATTATAGTGCAGTATGATCCTTTGCACATTTCTATAGAATGATTCATAGACCTAGAAAGAGATATTCAGGTAATCAAATCCAGTTTCCTGCTCTGTGCAAAAATCCAAATTAAAGCATTCATCTCAGAGGGTCTATCCTCTGCTTGAATGGATCCAGTGAAGAGAACAATGGCATCTCTTTCTGTAATTGATTCCACTGCCAAACTACTCTTACTGTTCTGGTCATTTGAAATAATAAATGTCTTTCTTCTCTGTGACATCCTTTCAGGTATTTGAAGAGTGATGTTGTACACCTCTTAGGCTTCTCATTTCAAGTATAAATATTCCCATTGCCTTCCATCTCTCTTCATAGGCTTAGCTTTTAGTCCCCTGATCATTTTCATTGCTGTTCCTTGAATTTGTTCCAGCATTTCTGAATATTTCTTACAGTATGTTGCTGAGAATTGGATGCTGTAGTCAAGATGGAGTCTGACAAGCAGAATAAAATGGAATAATTATTTCCCATCATGGACATATTTACCTGTGGGGGGAAAATGAATTATTTCCAGCTAAACATTTATCACATTTTATATTCTGCCTTCCTCCAAGAACTGAAGATAAAATTATTTTTTTTCTTTTACTTCCACAACTTCCTCACTAAAACAGATTAAGTTGAGAAATTATGAATGGCTGCAATCTAGCTCTAATTGGACATTCTAAGACCCGCACATACACATCACAGATATCAGTTATATTCCTGATTAAACTGACATGCATAAGCCTCTGAGATCTGGAAATATATTACAAAGACTTCTGTTCCTGAAAGTGTTTACTGTGGTTCACTTAGCATGCTGTTACCAGCCATATTCCATCGTACAAACTCAGCCTGTGTTGTTTGCACTTGGTTTTATGCAAACTCAGAAAACTGAGTTGAGAAAATAGTGGTTTAGTTAGATATGTGTGAAGATGTCATGCAGAGCCTATTTATTATTGATACAACAGGCTTCTGAGGGAGGCTGTCTCTGAAAGACAATGTCTAGCCCAGTTTCATCCATCACTGAATGGGAATTTAACCAGGGTCCAAAACCGACTTTATACATTAGTGATACCCATATAATTAATTACATACCCAGACTTCATTTCTTCCAACTGGGTCAGGAACAAAACAGAAAATAAACACGGAAATAATGAGTTACGCCTTCAGGGCCATACATACCTCGGGATCCCTAAGCTGTAACTGCCGCACATTCAGAACTTCGATTTTCTAAAGTGCGCCTCTAAAAGGAAGTATGCGCATGCGTAGCGTGCTCACGCTGGACCTTGTACAATGTGCCGCAACGAAATATCTCCCTCGGATAGTAGGGAGACTCTATGAAAATTTAACAACCCCTCCTCTTATTGCTTATTGGCGGCGAATAAAGGGGCGTGACCGGATATGTAAATAGAACCCGGCTTTTGCAGACGGAAGCAAAGTAAGGGGGGGGAACACGACCGGCATTTTTCGTAAATGGCGGAGAAGGAAGAGGCGTGGCTAAGCAGGAAGCCAGGGGCCGGAGGCGGTGCCGACCAAGAGCTGGAGGGCGTGGCGTGCATGCAAATTTAAGCACGGATATTACTGATTGAAGGGGAGGCAGATGATAGGTTGGGTTATGGAAAGAAGGGCGTTCTTATCTCCGATCTGTCGCCCGGCCTCTAAAGCTTCGTTTAGCTCCGCCCCACCGTTTAAAAATCGCGGCGCCTGCGCAGTGGATGGAAATGAGGACTTAGTCTGTTATACAACTGACTGTGCTGTTTAGGGAGCTGTGGTTTCCCTTTGGCCTCAAGTCCTTCCCTCTCCCCGGGTTTTTCTTCCTTACGAACTGTGATATAGGCATGAGTGGGGATCAGCTGCATAACGACTCCCAGGTAAGGGGCTACTATTTTTCTAGTAGTTTATGGGGGAAAGGAAGAAAAGTCTATGGACATTGAGGCCTATCATCCCCTTTGAGGAAAAAAGTGGAGGTTTTCTGATGGGGGAAAGAAAGGTTTATGTCCATAATTTAGTAGTTCCTCAGAAAGACTGATGAGGTAATTTCTTCAGGCCAGGTACAATCTTGCCAGGTAATTGGGGGAGGGGGTGTTACTCCCAGGTTTTCTACAGAGGTTTCTTTTTGGGTAGGGGGAGAAAGTCCCGTTTCCTTCGCTCTGTTCATGGGCCTTTAATAATATTCCGAACCTTTGGCCTGTTCTCTGTCCCCTCCGCCCCTCCTTGCTTTTCTCCCGGGGTTCCCTTTAAGTTGCGTATTATTCCGATAAGCCCTGATTAAACTGACCCCATTCCCTAAAAGGGGAAGGGTCCTTAAGGTGGCAGTTCTTCTCCTTTGCGATTTCCTCCCGCCGCTTGCCGGGTGTGGGGGACGCGTAAAAGGGGGTTGGGGGTTTCTGAGGAAACCTTCTGGGGATAGAGAGCCACGCACGACGAGGAAGGCGATTAAAACTGGAGGACAAAACTTCGGTGGGGGTGGTGAGGGAAGGGAGGTATAGGTAACATCGCAATTCAGTCCCTTTTATCGAGATATTTATGTACAGTCCTTAGGAATGATTTCTTCCCCTCACCTTGGCTAGCTTTACCCTTGTTAAAAATGCACGTAGTTTTTGTGTGAAATCATTCCTTGGTCCTGGGATGCCTTTTAAAAACGTATTTTCCCACTTTCCTTTCCAATCATAGATTGATCCAGATTTCCGAGCGAATGGTGAGTGTCTTTTCCCTAACCTTGTAAAAGTGGGGAGTGGGATTGGTTTTTCCCCCTGCTTTCTCTATTTTTCTCCCCTCTCCCCCTGTCTTACATTGCTAAGGATAGTAAAGGACAGACATGGCGTCCCAGAGACTAAGTCCCGTCTCCTCGCTCACCGGCCCCATTGTTCCCATCGAGGTTCCTAATTCTCCGAAATCTTAAGACCCTCGGCCTTTCTGACTTGGTTTCTCCGTAGTGAGGACAATTGAGACCCCAGATCAGTTTTCCTTTGTTTTTTAAAAATCTCTATTGGGCCTCGATTCTCCCCTGGAAAGTCGCCTTGTCGACGGTCGGGACTTAGTCTCTGCGCCATTTTCTTTTTCTCTCTCTTCCCTGTGTGTGTCTTTCTCCTTCTCCTCCTCCCTCGAGCTGCCTGGAAGGAGCCTTCCGCAGTAAAAGCATACGAAATAACCAACATCCATGTTTCAAATATCCTCCCTGAAAAGGGGGAAACATCACTTGGATTTTGATTTCCTTTTTAAAGCTTGACTTGGTCGCCTGGTTGTCTTTTTATTCATATCTCCTCCCCTGTTCCTTCTTCCCCAGGTCTGTTTCTTTCAGTCAAATCCATTTCCTTCCCTTCCCCCTATAACAAAAGGTGGTTGCAACATGTTGCTCTTGAGCAGATTCTCTGTCACTTTGAGTAAGGAACATATTTAAGATCTAAATGCAGAAACTGATTGGGTGGGGTTTGTGTTTTAAAATCCCGAAATAAAATACTACAAAACAACGTGGGTGGTTTCAGAATAGTATCCCACATCACTTTGCTAAAGTTTGATAGTTGATGCAGGGTATTCTTTTGTCTTCAGTTTGAAAAAGAATAAATATTTTGTGTATTTTTAAAAAACTGGTGTGTGAATGGGTGGAGGGAGTCATTATCTTATGAATGGCTTTGTCACTGTTGGATAGCAAGCTTTCTCAGCCCTTTAAAAGAAGAAAATGAGGGAAGGAGACACAAAGTTGGATTGGCATATCTGTCAAAAATGTCAAGATGGTTTGCTCCACCTTTTAAAAAGGTGATTTCACCTTAGCATTCAGCTCCCAGAGGCTGAATGGTACTGGGTATCCTGCTTTCATAAAACATTGCCATATTCTGAGTAACATACTTAAATACTGGTTACTAGTGGATTCTGTCACCTACATTTCTGCTGTTGTATAAGAAGCAGGACAGCTCTGATACAAGAAGAGTATGTTATGGTATGCAGATTTATGTTCTCCCTTTATAAAGGAATATATAATTGGAAGGATTTAACATTTAAAAAGAATATCCCAGATCCCAAAATGAAGTTCATAGAACTGCTTAAATTTAAGCATGAAGGTGATTTTTTACAATTGTTAAAGGGAAGATAATCCCACATATAAATGACATACGAATACATATGTTTACAATTTGACTTGAAAGTGTTATTCAGTGCTATGGCTATCCTTTTTTTTTATTGGATCATAATGCAGTTGAATTAGGTTATAGTTGGATTATAATGCAATTGAAACTATGTTGAGGCTTTCAGTTTCTGACTTGTTTTAAAATGTATTTTGGGGGATCTAACTCATGTGTTTTGTTATCCAGGCAGGTAAAGCTTATACTGGCTCTTTCATATCAACATAGGATCGATACCTAATGATTTGTATCTTGTTCTTGGAAGTGTTTCTAGTTTATTTCTATTGGATATTTCAAACAGAAGGGATACATATACATTATATGATTTTTCTTCCTATTGTAGACCCAAACTTTCCCTCAACTGTTTTATCGTTGTACTAATTAATGGAACCACAGGTTTCACTGTTGTTCAAGTAATAGCAGTGGAAGTAGTCATGTCCTCTGTGACCTTGCCACTAAGGCAAAAATTTGCTTTCATGTTCTTTTCTACCAATCTGTAGTATACATCGTAAGTTTACTATATTATATATTGATCCTGACTTCTCAGTCTGTCATTGTCTACTGCAGTTAGTGTTTTCAGTATCCATTTTAATGCCCCCTGCTGTTGTACCTAAAATAGTTATTTTTATATATTTATTTGACTTGTGTGCCATTATTGTAAAGATTTTGTATAATTTTTAATTTTACGAATTATAAATTGCTTTGGGACAATATTTTATGCAGATAAAAAGTTTACTGTTTATTTTTTATAGTAGTTTTAAATTGTAAATTCTTTAATGTTTATAATTATAATTTAATTATAAAATATTTAATATTTAATTTATAATTTAATTATATTTATATTTAATATACATTAAATTATAATTTAACTCTTTAAACTCTTTATACTCTTTATAGTAGTTTTAAATTAGTATAATCTTCATCACTTTATACATAAGAATGTTTATGGAGTTTTCCATTTCCCTTCTTCTATTTTTTCCCCTGGTCAAAAGTTTCTTCAGTTCCAAAATTGCAAAATCTTGAAAACACAAAACTAGCAAGCTATTGTCTCCTCAGTCACATTTATTTAAAAGTAGTTATTGATTAAAACAGCATTCCCTATTTTTCAGCATGTAATGCATTAGTTATTAAATATGCAATTACGATATCTGTATTCATGTAATGAAAGCTCATTTGATATACTGTAATGTGCAGCTAGGCCACCTTATATACATAGTTTCAGATTTTATAAACCAAGGGGAAGTATAGCTAGAATTTTTTTGTTGTTGATGGGAGATGTCCAGGGAACACGACTGAACTACTGTATAGCAGTGTTCTCTGCAAATAAAATTAAACTCTTATTTATAGTGGCTTCAGAAACAAAGTGATTTTAAAGATTCTCCCTGGCATAACTTTGACTGACTTGATTATCAATGTATAGTGAAATTGTCTTTTTCAATATTTAAGTAGTTTTGTAAAATGCAATTTATGTACTTCTCATTGGGTGTTCTGCTTTTTTTTACTCCTATACACTCTTAAGCATTAATATTTATACTTATGATAAATACTTAAGATTTATTTTGGTTGTTTGCAGGATTCTTCCTCACCATACAGATACATATTTGTATCAGCTGCTTCAGAGATTTTATTAAATATTTGAGTAAAACACCTAGGAAAATTTTTCTATATCTTAACCATTTTAGGATAAAGAAGAAGGATTTCAGTTCATGTTTTCCCCCCTTTAAAAACAATAATCATTGTATATGTAGGAAGTTAATGTACTAGGGTTAAGATTTGCTACTTCAGTGTTCCCTATATTCCCCCCCCCTCCAATATTTAATCTATATTCACAGCCAGCCTTGCCATTTTGAAGGCTAATATACATGTTTAACTGTACATATGGAGTGTTGTTAACATATAGATTACCTCGGCTATATTCTGTCATGGTACAGTTCTGAAAGCACTGTAGCCATCTGCTCATGTTATAGGATCATAGAATTTGAAGGATCAGAGGTCAGCTAGTTCAGTCTGTTGCTCAGTGCAGGAGCCATAGAGCATTTCTGACAGATGATAATGCAGCCTCTATTTGAAGACTCACAACTTTGTATTGCAGCCTGTTCCAGAGATGCAGAAGGTTACATTTCTCCTCTTTAAAGTCCATCTTATTTATTTCAGACTACGGCTCAAACCTGTTTAGATCTTTTTGAATTTCATCTTTCATCGAAGTATTAATACTACTTCTAATGTTGTATCATCTGCAAACAACTGCCTTCATCCAAATCACTGATGAAAATGTTGACCAGCAGGACAGGGCCATGTGGCATTTTACTCAATAGTTCCCTCAAGATGAGTTGGTGCCTTTGAGTACAATCATTCAGCCACTGAATCATCCAGTAGTATAATCTAGTCCTTATTTTACCATTTTGTGAAGGAGAATTTAACAAGGCTGTTGAAGGCTTTGCTGAGGTCCAGGTATACTATGTCTGTGGCATTCCCTTGACCTACTAGCTAGTAACTCTGTCAGAGAAGGAGATACAGTTTGTCTGGCAAACTCATGCTGGCTCTTGTTAATGGTAACATGCCAGTAAAATCTTTTCCAGTGTTGATGTCAGGCTGACAGGTCTGTAGTTTCCTAGGTTGCCTTCCTTTCCTTTTTTGACAATGGGGTAACATTTACTCTCTTCCAGTCTCTTAGGACTTCACCAGTCCCCAGAATAAATAGATTATGAATAGTAATTGTTGTAAAATAAATAGATTATAAACTTAAATTGCAGGTATGGTAATTCAGCTGTTAATTGGCTTTTATAGGAATATGTTCATTATTTTATTCTAATGATTGCATCTGTATTCTCTATTGGAAAACCTGGAAGCATTAGCCAATTATGGTAGGCAATTTGATTCCAGGATTTACATTTTCTTCCAGGATTTAATTGGTTAGAGGACTGAACCTAAGTAAAGTTGTTAGGATTTTGAAATCATCAAATGGTGAGCTTTTGGAATTAAATGACCCTGTCTTGATGAGGAGAAGCATTTGTATTACATGTGTTTCAATAGTGCCATGGAAATTACTCTTTTGCAACATGAGTTTGCATGCCAAGCCAAGGAAAATCTCTGAAAACTATTTCAGCAGAGTTTTTCCCCCCACTAACAAGAGTGTATGTGTTTGAATCCCTCCTGCCCTTCAATATCTGCATTGTTTGCAAAACATGGCTGTTTTTTCATTTTATAAATAAAGATTTGGAGCTACTAAGAGGCAGTAACTCTGATTCTTACAATAACTTTTTTGTAGTGCACAAGACTTTTTGTGTGTGTTTTAAGGGAATAATAAATCTCATCAACTAACTTGCAATACATTCTCAGTAAAACGTATTGAGTGTGATCTGATTGCACAAATTATTATCTGAGTAATACCAGTACATTGTTTTCTGAGGTTTGAACAAATCATTTGAACCTCTGACTTTTTGAAAGTTCATATTTGTAAGCACTTCTCACTGAAGCTTATTTGCAGTATAATTGGAACCATGTTTGTTTACTTGGAAATAAGTCTTCTAATCATAGCAGGATCTGTTTCATAGTAAGTGTTTTTAAAGTGATGCCCAGCAATTTGGACAGCCTTAAAGAGGGACTAGATTGGCTGTCAATGATTACTAGTCAAGAAGATGATATAGTAACTCCAGAATCAGATACAACCTATATCTCAATGCTAGTTGCAGGCAAACTTAAGGAGTGTATTGCTGCACATGTCCTGTTTGTAGACTTCATATCAGCATTTTGTTGGCTAGAAAGTATTACTATAGCACTGTATTACTCAATATGTGTAAGAGACCTGTGAAATAAAAGAAGGGTCTTATATATAAAGGGTATTAACCTTAGTGATGTTTAATAACCTGGTTGAGTTATTCATTTGTAAACAGTGATGTTAAAGATCATATAGATCACTTGAATCAATTATTGTCCAAACTCAATATTCAGACAGGAAGTCTCTGTATTTAATGTTGTCAGGAAATGGATGACTTTGCTCTCAATTTCCTAAATCAGCTAATATTTAAGAAACCCAATTCTTTTTAAAATAAGTCATGTGAAATCCTGGTACAGTAAACCAAATAATACATGCTGCAGTTCTGCTTTGCCCTCTACAGGCATAGCCTCTGTAGTGTCCTTTTATATGGCTTTGCAGCTAAGACAGCATGTGACATTTAGCAAGCTGCTGTGGGTTTTGTCTCAGTTCTTCACATTTCATATGTGAATAATCTTAAATGTAGTATCTAATTGAGTCAAAATATTGAAAGTCCTCTATGTTGAGCTCATTAGCTGTATTGGATTGTTTATTAACTCTGGCTAGTAGGATGATTCTGCCTTTAAAAATGAATATGGAGGTTTGAGAGTTAGTTTAATTGGCCTAATTTCAAATGGTATATATCTGATTCTTTATCTTGTCACTGTCAGTATTACCGACTGTGTTTTGGATAAAGTGTATCCAAAACCATGCAATATGTATTGTCCTGGGAGTTTAAGATGCCCCTTGCCTAGTACTGTTATTTCAAGCATAAGTTTAAGGTACCTTGCACTTAGCAAAGCTATATGTGTCAAATACCTTGTGCAAGTGCTGCTTTTCTGCTGGATCTCCCATCCCATCTTAGGTCCTTCCTGTTGATCATATATTATTGCTTAAATTTGTGCTGCTTACTGCAGTTAGTGTAGCTACTACTATGTAGGACATTGTACAGATATCCTTGACTTATGACCACAATTGGGACCAGAATTTATGTTGCTAAGCAATACATTCGTAAAGCGAGGCATGTGACTGCATTGCTTAGCGATGGCGATCCCGGTTGCCATCATTAACTGAGAATCATGGGTCATTAAGCAAGTACCCACCCCAATCCATGCTATTCCAGGCTTGGTCCCTCCCAGTCCTGAGCTTCAGGTAAGGGACTGCCTCCAACTCCCCCCGCCTGCCTATCTCCCCCAATCTCTGCCCGTTTTTGCTGTCCTGCACCCTGCCTTGCATGGCTCTGGGGTTGCTTGTCACGCCTGGGAAGCCACAGCTGTCCCAGCCATAGTCGCCCTTGCCACTGCCATCCTGCATTCTAAGACCTCTGCCACCCCGCACTCAGCCACCCCAGTGTCTTTTACTGTCTTCTTGCCCCTGTTGCTGATGAGACATGCCTGGCCTGCCTGATAGGCTGGACAGAGGCTGGGCTTTGTACTGTGGGGAAAAAAGCAAAAAGCAGCCCCAGAGCTACAGCACATCAAAAAGCCCCCTTTCATCACGCTCCTGGTCTGGGTTGGGGCTGAGCTTTGCACTATGAAAAAAAAAGTAAAAAGCAGTGCTGGCACTGCTATTTATTTATTTGTTTGTTTGTAATGCTAAAGGGCACCAAAGAGCATTTGCCCTGGGGAAGCATGTTGCTGAACAAATGGTTGTAAGTCGAAGATTACCTGTATAAGAAACTCTGTGCTCTATGCTGCCAACAGTGACATTTATTTTGTGAACCAGTTAATATCAACTGAGATGTCTTCTATGTGATTGATACTTATTCTAGAAAACAGGAGTACAGTTTGCTTCTAAGGATATTGAATAATACTTACTGATTTGTCATATTAATTTGTCGAAGCAAGCATTCATTTTTAAAGTAAACTCTTCATACTTCTCATGAAGAGAAGGAAACATTTCTGTTCCTAATTAGTATTATGACTGGTATGCAACAGCATATTACTAGATTTTCAAACCTCACTTCACAGGAGCAAATGGAAATTAGGACTATGTGTGGACAAAGTAGAAAAAATTGTCCTTAGTACAGTGTTACAGTAGTGAGATTCCTTTCAAAGTGTTTCGTGAATGTCAGGACCCACTCAGCTGGGCATAATCAAGAAAGCAATAACTACACAGATTTCAGTAAGGTTTATTACTTATTTATTGCTGATTTCAAGTCAGTCTTCACTCCTGGCCACTGCCTGGACAAGTTCATGCAGTTTTCTTGACAGCATTTTCAGAAGTGGTTTTCCATTGCCTTCTTCCAAGGGCTGAGAGAGAGTAACCAACCCAAAGTTACCTAGCTGGCTTCCATGCTTAAGGCAGAACTAGAACTCGTGGTCTCCTGGTTTCTAGGAGTACCTTTGACCACTGTCTCAAACTAAAAACAAAATCTTGGAAACTGTAATAGAAATTCCCTAGGCTTATTTATACAGAGTCTCTGCCTGCTTTGAAATGCTTCTTTTTAAATTTTTCTTTGCCTGGGCTATGTTTCTGTGTATAAGGTAAACTGCCAGCTGACTTGTCCACTATCTTTTGATATGTCTGACTTGCCTGCTATCTGTTTATGCATGGTTTCTCTTTCTATCCTTTCCCTTTCCAGACTCCCCAAAATCTCTTGCAAAGGGATAGCAAAGATTTTTCTTTATAGGCCTACTGGATTTTTGAGATACTCCAAACCAGTATGAATTCAGATTGCTAATCCATTCTAGAGAAGAAGCAGTGGCTGTCGTAGGTGGCAGCAAGCTGTAATTTGTGGCCTCCTGATGTGTTTATGTATAGTGGTGAGAGAAAGTTTGTGAATCCTTTAGAATTATCCATAATCTTGAAGCACTGTGACCTACAATGTGATCAGACTTTCCGCTAAGTCCTATTAATAGATGCATCTTTTTTAAAACAAACAACACAAAAAACAGTATACTGTGTCTTGTAGTAGTAGTTTATCCAGGGTCAGATCAACACCAATCCTGTTGGTATTCAGGAAACTCACCAAGACCTGGCTGTTCTGGAAAGCCTTTAGGGATTGTTGGTATGGTAGATTCCCTCTTTGCAGTAGCAATTATTGCTACTAGGACTTTTTTCCTCAGTGTGTCACTAGCTAGGAAATTCATTGTCATTGGGTTTTTGAATTTGGTTATTACTTCTTTTAATTCTTTCTATTTTATTTGTTGTTATTTGTAAGCTGCTCAGAGCCTTAATGAAACTGCGAAGCATCTAAATTCCAGTAACAAAATCAGTGTCTTTACTGAAAACATTAATTCAGTGTCTTTGTTGGAAATGAGTTATGAAGCTCTAGGATAATCAGTCCCATTAAGTAGATAAGTTGAGTCAGATGTTACTCAATGAGATGTTAATAAGGTGTGAATTTGAGTGGCTGTCCCCTGTTAAAAACATGCATACATACACATTGGTTGACACCATTAGAGTCTGCTGTTGATGATACAGATTTGTAGAAGTGAATCATATCCCTATGGCATGTGTTGCTCAGAAAAAGGGCTATCTGTGCTCATGAGGCTGGAAAGGGTTACAAAATTGCTGCAAAAAAAAAAATTGCCCTCCATCATCCGCAGTTAGACAGATGGTGTACAAATGGAGAAAATGCAGCATAATTGTTTCTTTTCCCAGGAGTGGATGTCCATCAAAAATAATTCCAACAGCACAGTGTATAATACTTTGGGAAGTCACAAACAACCCTATTGTTTCTTTTCCCAAGAGTGGATGTCCATCAAAAATAATTCCAACAGCACAGTGTATAATACTTTGGGAAGTCACAAACAACCCTGGGCTGATGGCAAAGGATCTGCAGCATTGTCTGATATTAGCATTCATGAGTTCACCAGAAGGAAAGCACTGAAGAAAAGTGACGTGTATGGGAAGTTAGGAAGGAGGAAACTCCTGATGTCCAAAAAGCATACTGCTTCCCATCTCAGGAAAAGACTAACTGGATGTTCCAGCATGCCTATGGAACAGTCTGTTCTTTTGGACAGATGCAATGAAGTGAAACTGTTTTGAAAACAAAACATTACATTTCAGCAAAAGGACCACATCCTTACCATGAAGTATAATGGTAACTGTATAATGGTTTGAGGCTGCTTTGCAGCCTCAGAACCTGGACAGCTCATTTGCAGGTAGTCCCCAGTTTAAGAATGAGTTCTGTTCCCAAGGTCTGTCCTTAAGTTGAATTGGTATGTAAGCCGGAACAGTATTATTGTATAATACTGTATAAGTAGTATTGAACAATTAACTCAAACAATGGTGTATATAACTCGAATTTTGCTACAGTGGGCTCTATTCTTCTATGGGTCCTTAAACCGGGCGTTCTTAACCTCTGCCTGTACAAAACAATGGATTTTACCAACACATTCTTCAGAATGTCAGGGTACCTGCAACATGACAATGATCATAAATACACAAGTAAATTCACAGCAGAATATCTGAAACAGAAGAAATTTTACTTTTTGAAATGGTCTAGTCAAAGACCTGACCTTAACTTTGTTGCAGAGTTCTGGCTTGACTTGAAGCAAACATGTCCATGCAAGACCATGCAAAAATATCAACAAGTTGAAGCAGTTCTGTAAAGGCAAATGTGCAGAAAATCTCCAAGCCAATGTGTGATACAGGTACAGGATCTATTGATATAATTGTAAGCTACTGAGAACATAGTTTAGCATTTGGTCTAAAATGTCCTAATGTTATATAAAACATTAAATTTCTGCTCCAATTTTAGACACATATTTAGGGTTTATTAAGGAAAAAGTGCTGTCTTTTGTAATGTTGGGTGTACAGGTTCCTCTGCAACATTTTATGCCCCCAAATAATTTGCTACTACTTCAAAAGGAAAAAAATTATTTATACAGTTCCATGAACAGTTTTCTGCTAAACTGTTTCTTTTTGTCTTTTTAGAGTGGACTTTACTTGCAAACTGAGGTAATTTGGGAAGGAAGAAAATCTTTCTAGAACAGTATTGATTTAAACCATCTGACCCAAACAGTTCAAGAATTGGAGGCAGAACAAACTTCTGTTGAGCCCTGTTTTAAAAAATGAACATGAGTTTTTAATAAATTACTAACTTGATGATAATTAGTGCTTGATTGAAATGGGGCATATTTTGTGGTGACTTTCTTTCCATACATGAAACCTTACTAACTTTGTAAATGCAATGTGAAACATCATACAGATAGAGATAGAAATCAGTTTTGTTTTGTTTTTCTGAAAAATGGGAAATGGATTATAAAGTATTTCCAAATGGTTTCTTATTAAATGATATGTAAAATGCTTAGGAAAGCTGTTTATATCTTGATACCTAGCCTTTGATTCCCATATTTATTTAGGAAAACTCTAATAGAAAGACTTCCATGTAATATTATTTACAGTATCAGATTGTTACAATTCTGGTACACAAAGAAATCACTGTACAGTGCAACTGTCAGATGTAAGATAGGATTTTTTTTCCCCCTTCAGGTGACACTGACATTAGTAGAAGGAAAAAAAAAGGTTTATTTTTCCATGGCTTCAGAATTTCTTGAAAATTTACTTTTATGTTTATATAAAATGTTTGGGCACAAAATGTGTGCCAAGCAGTCTGTCCCCTGCCACAACGCAGTGATGCATGGTAGGCTAATTAGGACAGTACACAGAGATGCTTATTGCTGTCCACTTTCTATCCCAAATAGTGTGCAAATTGTAATCAGGACAAGAATCCTTTCTTATATTTAGAGGAGTTAACAAAACATCACCCTTGTTGCCTCAGCAATCCAAATGTATTTCCTTTTTTTCTGTTCTCTTTTGCTGTGAAGATAAATACAATGGGATGGTTTGGTTGTTCCTCAGGGAAGTTATAGTGTTAATTATTATGATCATGTGGTAAAGTTAAATTCATTACATGATATCTGATTAGCTGGGATCACAAAACAAACTCTTTGAAATACAAAACCAAAGTTAGGACAAAAACAGTTTTAAAAATGCCGTATTTTTTTCCTCATTAACCTTCAGCAAGTTTGGCATTTGTCATAATATCCTATCTAAAATGTTTATTTCTATAATGACAGGGTTTTTTTTTTCAAAAGATATGAAACTTGTCCCAGTGGCTCATGATTTCATGAAATCATGAAATAGCCAGTAGATGATAGAGTAATGTTTCTCTATTTATGCTTTCTTAAGCTCATCTGTAGACCAGATAGAACACTTAAAATACACTGATATAATGGCTTATGAGAAACTACCTGAACGTAAATATCTCAGTATCCTGAACTGCACTTATTCCAGAAATGGGATAATTTTTCTCCTTAATTTTATTCTAAAATAATTGTGCTGATAAATCCTGGGAGGTTACAGTGTTGACATCTAGAATCTCTCCTTATTTTAATGAGAATGTTAGTTCACTAAAGCAGAGGTTTATTTTATAATTCTAAACAAAAAGTCTTTGCTAATTGTAGTAAAACTTTTCTCCCTTTTATAGTTTTGGCAAGAAATTATAGTTTTGCCAAAGAACTATTTGTTACTTAGACATTAAAACTGCCGCTATTGGGAATTAGTATGCTTTGTACAAGGAAAAGAAAAACATATATCTGAAAAAAGAGTGATAATACCATTTTGGTGCACGTACATCTTAGTTCCATTGATTTGACAGAGTGAAAGCATAACTTGGCAAAATAGTTCATTCAAACATTAGCTGAAATGTACCCATTAAGATGTGTATAGTCAGTCCTATGCATATTTTCTTAGAATTACATCTCATTATATAAGTGAGTATAAGATTACTATATTGAGAACTGTTCTTTTCACTAAATGCTTGGAGTGGAAGAAGGAACCTGAAACATTGTTTTGATATCAGTTTCAGGAGTCAGTGGTATTACAGTCTTCCCAATGACCACGGTGTTTTATGTTAAGAATGAGTACACGTAATCCTGACTAGTGAATTCCAGAATACATAGAAAGATTTGAAAGACTGCAGTACAGGCTGTCCCTGGGTTAACAACAAGTTCTGCTCCTAAGTCTGTCTTTAACTTGAATTGTATGTAAGTTGGAACTCATACTTCTGAACGGGCTGCCTATTACTAAAAATGGTGGACAGTGTTCTCTTCCTTGAGCTGACGAACCATTGAAGCCGCACAATGTTTTAATGAACCATTGAAAACAGGCTGTTAAAAACATGCAGCTTCAGTGGTTCATGAAAACATTGCGTGGCTTCAGCAGTTTATCGGCTCAAGAAAGGAGAACACCATCCACATTTTTAGTAATAGGCAGTCCATTCGTAAGTATGAGTTGGATGTTCTTAACCTGGGGACTGCCTTTACTTACTAAACTACTTGAAAACATATATAAGGGTTTTTTGTTTTTTTGTATTACAATAGGGTTAATGCACTACTGTGGATTATGCATACAAAATGTTTATTCCAGAAATGGCTTGTTTTGAACTTATTGTAACATATCTGTTCTGATAGAATGAATTAAAACATACCAAATTCTGGTTAAGTTGTATCTTCATTTTAAGGCTGCTTTATCCTGCTCCCTGGTAACTTCAGTGTGGCAAGATCTGTCTTGAGCTTGCACATAGTAGAAGGAAATGTCTGGTCCATCTGGATTAGATACTTGTGGAATGGACTGGCAGTGTTATCATCTTAGTAAGCCCTTTGTATCCATTACAGGGGGTGAATTTTTCTTGGGGATATGGTAATTGTTAATGGTTCAGAGGACCAATAAAAGTTCACTGACATCAGTGTCATTATAAGGTTCTTGAAATATTTTGGCAAGCTAAGTTTGAAGGGCAAATGATAGTTTTCTGTGGGCTGTTCCACCCGTTTTCATTTTAACCTGTATCCACTGGAATGTGCATTCAATCAAGGATTAAAATTCACCCCATTTCTTTGACACATATATTTAGGAAATTATCTTTCTAAATATTATCATACTTGTTCTACACAATTTTTGGTATGCAATTAATATCTATATCTAGGTTTATTCAGGCAAGTCTTGTAAAGAGACCCTAACTTTTTATCCTGTCCATGCACAGCAATAATATTCTGTATGCTATTCCATTATACCACAACTGGACATCATGGGCAAAACCCAAAGACAATTCTTTCGGAGAATATTAATTTCTAATATTTGCAGTTTTAATTTTTTTTCCTTTTATTTCTTTGGATCTGTAGAATGGGATAAAGACAAAAAATATTTCTGTGTTTAATACAGCAACAAAAAAATAAACATTGTGGTTTAGTTAAAGTAAGACTGAAGAAAAAGGGAGGGTAGGAGCACAAGTGAGGGACAGCAAAGAGGCAAACAGGGACACTATCTGACACTTACAATGGCTTTATCAGAAGCCTGCAGTGAAAATACTTTCTGCCTCTTCATAATGTACTTCAAAGGTCAAGACTGAAGAATAGATGCTTCAATAACCATCTACATCTGTAAACTCTCAGGCTGCAGACTTGTGATAGCTTCTTATACTCCCTTAACCTCTACAGTAACCTCAGTGTTGGCAACAATGTATATTTTAAAATGTGTGTACAATGCTGTGCCTAGCTTTTCTGCAAATATTCAGATTGTGAATTCTTTATATTCAGCTGTGTCCTGTTCTTGTACTTGGAGCCAGAAACAAACTTGAGCCACATGTTCATATTTGAATAGTGGCCAAAGTGATGTGTCAAGAGCCTCTTATTTAATATTCCTTTTGTAGTAGCAGTCCTGATAGCATTACTCTGAAAATTAATAATCTCCTATATAAATTAACAAATGGTAAATTAATTTTGCTTTGTCAACTGCTGGGAAGCAACTTCTGCTTTATTTTTTAACGAAAAGACTGGTTTTGTACTACTTGATTATAATTTACTTTTTTATTTTTTTTAAGAGTTGATAACAACAGATGATAGTAGGCTGCCATGCCCCCAAAACAGATCTACTTGTCTGACTCATTGTATAAGTCTCCTTTAGGTTTTAGGAAAGTATTTTTTATTGGCTTAAGGAAAAAAGTATGTACTTGCAGCTTCACTCAAACCTTTTAGTTAGCTGTATGACATACTGTATCCTAGATCATACTTGATTTTTCCTTTGAAGAGGCATCTTAGATAATTTTTTCTTCTAGTTTTACAGCACCACATTTAATCTCCATTTTTCACATAATCTCTGTGTTCTGTTTTTTAAAAAAGGTTAAATCTCAAAAGTGTTCTTCCAGCATTGAGACTGTAGATTTAAAATCACTGGGTATTTGCTGGCTGATGGCTTAGCATTCTGTACTAGGACTATGTAGTACTTTGGATTTGAAGGCAAAAAATACTTCATGCAGAAGCCCCTTAATATAAGATTGGCTACAACTCCTTAAAGCAGCTGCATATTTTTATTTATTCATCAAATTTATATGGCCACCCATCTCATGAAAAAGTGACTCTGGGCAGCATACAATAAAACTATAAAATAGTTAACATATAAAAAACTATTACTCAGAAAAAAATTGAAAATCACAAAGGATAAGAGAGGGCTGGAGCCTCGGTTTGCATGGCTGCAGCTTTAATCATGGGAAGACACACTTTTGGTTTAAAGAGTCGCAGACAGGTGCTACATGGACACCTGTGTATGTAGCATATTTTTTCTTTCAAATCTCAAGCATTGCACACTA